TGCTACATCAGTGTGTCGTCTCGGCCCTCGGCTCGCACTCTCGGCGCTCAGATGCTGCAGACGCTCAGTCTGAGAGCGACCCTCGCAGACGCCAGGATCCTGCGGCTCACAGACGCCGCCGACAAACCCAGCGCTTTCCAGCTGCGCAAGTTCTTCAGACGCCTGGCCTTCAGACAGGTGCAGCAGCAAACAGCAGAAGCACACACCGAACCATACACTCGTTCTCAGCCTTTGACTCGCTTCTCAATTCCATCTCTGCCAAACACAACACACGATCCTCTATGTAACACACACTAATCTAGATCTAACTGTAATGAGAGGGCACCTGACCGACTGTGTGTGTGTGTTTCTCCGCAGTGACTTCAATCCTGGCTCGAGCGCTGCAGACGACACGACCCTCGTCACACACACACACACACACCGCTGCTCTTCATCATTAACCTGTGCTTGTGTGTCTGCACGCTGGGGTTGTAGATACACCCCTGACTCTCTGTACAGTATTTATGTGTGTGTGTGAGTGATGCTGTAAACACACTCGGATGAGGAGACGCCCCAGTGTTCACACGCAGCATGCATATTCTTTTACACAGTCCCAAGTACAGAGAGGGAACTCTGAGAGAAGGATTAGCGAGAATCAGTACATCTACTGCCACTGTGTGAATAATAGGCCATCCATAAAAACACAAGTGCAATCTGATTGTGAGCTGGGCTACGTAATCAGATTCTGAAAACGGAATGCTTATAATTAGATTAAAGTACTTGTTATAAAACGGATAGTTCCGGTGCTTGATTCTGATTGGTTGAGCCATGTTCGAAGCGGTTGTAAATGACTCTACAAAGTAACAAACACCTTTGTTTAGACGAGGAGACGCCCCAGTGTTCACACGCAGCATGCATATTCATTTACACAGTCCAAGTACAGAGAGGGAACTCTGAGAGAAGGATTAGCGAGAATCAGTACATCTACTGCCACTGTGTGAATAATAGGCCATCCATAAAAACACAAGTGCAATCTGATTGTGAGCTGGGCTACGTAATCAGATTCTGAAAACGGAATGCTTATAATTAGATTAAAGTACTTGTTATAAAATGGATAGTTCCGGTGCTTGATTCTGATTGGTTGAGCCATGTTCGAAGCGGTTGTAAATGACTCTACAAAGTAACAAACACCTTTGTTTACTTCTGTGTGTTGCTCGGCAACCACTTTGTTGGAACCACAACTGTTTCTGAGGAGCTACATTGTTTGGTGGAAGAATACTGTTTTTATTAATATCATTACACTTTATTTGTGAAACCTTACTACGTATATGGAATAACCGTGTTATAAAAGCAATAATCCCCGTGAAGCCGTGGTTTACAGTGAATTTATAACAGCTAAGGGGGTTTTTAATAACGGCTTCACGGGGCTTATTGCTTTATAATCAGACTACAGTTACCTGTTTATGGATTACATGATTACATATTATTCACGCAATGGCAATAAATTATTCATGATCTATTGATTCTCCTCTTTTTCATCTTTTAAAGGTTCCTTTCTGAAATAGCCTGCCGCTTGCATTCACTCAGAAAGTCTTCGGTTTTGTGGTGATTCACTGGATTTACAAAATCAGTTCAGGTCTGAGAAGTGTTTACATATTGCATCAACTACTGATGAACTCATTAGCTTTTATTTGAATTATCACTCTATGTTATTTAACTATGTATTTCTGTGTCTTTGCCAGGCTTTTCTTTCAAGCACATTAAAATGCATAAATGCACAAATGTTTCTGTCCTCTGATCCTCTCTCATCTAATATGTTTTTATCCTCTTTAAAAGAGATCTCGAAGTAAAGAGGTGCTAAAGTCTCATATTGTGGTGGCTGTGCTTTA